CTAATTTTCAGAAATAAGTCCGGTAAAGTATTAAAACCTTATAATATTTTTAAAAATCTCAATTTCTAACATGTGGATTTAAAACTTGCATACTTATTAATACAGCATATTAGCCAATACATTTGAGCTTATCATATAGGACTACGAAAAAGGCATTTAATTGCTTTTGCATGATGCTTCTAATCAATTTCAGCCTAATTTATGGAAATCTGAATTAAAATCATGATGCCAAGAATGTATTGAGGATGCTGTGGAATAATATCTAAGGACTTAGTTGTTTCTCTGCCAATCACAGGCATCCTGGCAAATCCTGTTTTGCCAGCTGTCATTCTTTCTTCTCACCCTAGAAATCTGTTCATGCCAATTGTTTAAAACCCAATTATCCCCTTTCTTAAACCAGAACACAAATGCAATATTTATTAGATCATTACCAGCTTTGACAGAAAATGGTGAGTATAGTTCCCTTGTTTAACAAAAGTTATTACTAACTTCAGAACTGATAAGTAACATTTAAAATGTCCTTTTTTTGGTTGGTTATTATTTTGCTTCTTTTCAAAAGGAGAGAGATATTTTCTAAAAATAAAATTGTTAACTTTCTTGGTTTTATATTTCTTCTTTTCCTTCTTAGGAGCAGTACTCAGTTTTCACTGCTAATCAGTGGTGGGATTCAATTTTTTTTACTACCAGTTCTGTGGGTGTGGCAGGGGAAGGGTAGTGTAAAATCTCCAGTCAGAGGTGGTATTTGCCAGTTCTCTGAACTACTCAAAATTTCCGCTACCAGTTCTCCAGAACTGGTCAGAACATGCTGAATACCACCTCTGGTGCTAATTGATTTCAATCTCTATCCCTTCTCTGATCAGAATATTTGCATAAGATGTATAGGGAAGAAACAATTAATAGAGAAGAAGCTGCTTTATAATGAGATTGACAACTGCCCCTTCTAATTTATTACACCTTACATTCAGCAGTCATGGTTCTTTGAATCTTTGATACCTTGCTTGGAAAGATCGGCAGCTTAACTATAACTTCAGAAGACAAACCATGTGCTGTATTACCAAGCTATTGACTGTGAATGAATGGTCCATATATTCATTCATAATAGATGTCCTCTATTACTCCATCTATCTTCTCAGCTGCACAGACGCACTGCAGCATTGAGCACTGTTGAATCCATGGACCATCTATCTCTCTTTTCTTCCTCTCCACAGTATGCCTCTCCAACATTTTCATCCCACGGACTGTTTCCATATGTGTACAGCAAAAATAGGCTAATAGTAGTCGCTCATATGCTGAGTAATTCTTACACCTGAAAAGTGTTACGGAAAGGAAAATGAAGCTTGGGTCCAACTCCAAAGAAAAAGGAAATGTTCCTATGATGGACAATTGTAGAAATGGGATTGTAGAGAGGAAGAACCAGCAAGGACCTTAATTTAGGAAGAAGGTTGGGGATTTCACAATGGTTTAATTCAGACATCACCAAAGTGAAATTCTGTGCTCTTCTCCACTGCCATGAATTGCTTAGCATATATGATGATATTACAATCTGCTGCTAACATATTTGTCCCTGCACTATCTGAGTTGGCAAGAAAAGACCAGGAACACAGATTTGGAACTTTTCTTCTCTCTGGAAAATATTATAAAACTGGGAAAGGAGACTCAGGCTTATGTGCACTCTAGAAACTTCTTTGGAGCTTGGATTTCATTTTGAAATATTTTATTTTATTCATAAAAACATTTCCCTTCTGTTATAAAAAAGCAAGATACAAATGGGGCAAACATATATGTTGCAACTATTTCATGTACTAACAGAGAGCACAATTATTTTATCACAATGGGCACAGACTGATTTTATTTTCTTATGTACTCTTTTTTTTTAAAAATCTTCTTTTAAAAAATACCTCCTTATTTTTCTTGTTCCCATTGGGCACTTGAGTGGTTCTGACAGGATCATTATTTTGCCCTATTCTCCAAAGACTGAAATCGTGACACTGAAGGGGGGAAAAAATCACCACCTGGAACTGAATAGATATTGAAAGAGCAAACCCAAAATCTCATCAACATTCTAAGAGTTAACTATAAGTGACATGCGGAGCTCCCCTTCTAGTTATAATCCCCAATAATTTATTTTTCAGGTATATTTCCTTTCATTTCCACAAGCCCAAGAAAAAGAATACTCAAAATCCTGAGGAAATATATAATATGCCTTGCAAAAACTTTTGGTTTACAAATGGTGTTTTGTAAAAGAAACCACTAACTAGGAAACCTTCTAAGGAGAATATTCATGTACAATCAAATTTCGGTCACAAATGCATGCCAATGACTTGGAGTGGATGATCTGTCAAGATCAATCTTGCTCAGTTTTCTCTTTTTCTAGCTTTCGGTTACTTCCATCCCATTACATATCATTTGGCAGTTTGTATGTAAAATGTCAACATAAAATTTTGCACATCTTTTCATAAACTTTTTTCTAAGGACACATTTCTGCGCAATTCCCCCCCCCCCCCAAATTCTTATATGTCACCTTTACCAAACTATTAATTTTTGTATGTGTTTTCCCCTTATGTATGCGTTTACACTTTGCTCTTGTTGCTGTTTACAACTCATATTGCAAAATGTAAGAACGTTTGCCAAATTGTGTTCAGTGCACGTTAATTTCAGAAAGTTTGTAAATTCACAATAAAATGCAACACAATTTGTCCTCCAGCCCTAATGATAAATTAAACACGTGTATCCAAAGAATGATGTACACAGTACACAGGAATTACCTCCCTCTTGTTCCTTGCACTGGTAATATTTTTGACTGAAACTCGAGTTTTTGCAGAAGAAAATATGTAATAATATAAAATGTATATTATACATAATGATGTTTTAAAATATATGAGTATTTATAAGCACTTTGCCTTGGGACTTGTGTTTGTGTTTATTTATTTCCAGTTTATTGATGATTATTAAAGTGATATTTAAATATTTACTCAAATAAAAAACATATGTGACTGAATGTACAACAATTCCGAACGCAAAACAATAAATGGGAGACACAGCTGCTGGAGAAGTCTCATGAACAGCAGCACATTCTGAAAATAAGCCTTCCCACTGAGAAAAATATTTTTTTTTGTTCTACCCAAATGTAGGCAATTTTAATTCAGCTTTAATTCAACATTCCCAGAGGGGGCAATTCTGTTCCAAAGGTACCCATATGGTCTTCTAGCATCGTTTTGCTGTGTACTCTGGCATCCCAGAGTAAGTGTAACATATAAAGGTTTAAAAAGGAAACTCTTAGCTAGCCTAAAAGAAAGAGAGATACAATCCTTGTCCCAGGAAATCATGGCAAAATCCCAGTTCAATCTATTTCTCACTGTATCAACTCTAGCCTTTTCCTCCATTGTTAATGCAACTCCCTATCCACCAAAATATTCCTCACTGCAAGTAAAGAAAACTAATTTAATAATTTAAATATCATGCTAAGCTGGTTTGCTAAAAATTCCTGTAACTAATTAATTAACAAACACTTCTCTTCTTGCTAGGTGGCTTGTATGGTTTATAACTGTTTCCCAACTCTGACTTGTTACAAATAAACTTCTATGGTTTATTTAGCCAGTTCCCTGGGAAGAATGATTGAGTTCATTCATATGCAGGCACAATCATTAATATTTATTTGACTGAATAAGCTTTGTGGCAATTTTACTAAATATATTATGTGAAGTGTGGCTTTCACTTATTGGCTGGAGTCACACAACATACTACACCACATGAAAGCGAGAAACTTAGTAGCTTGTGGTTCATGGTGTTATAGAAACCAAGCCATCACGTTAAACCATAATATGTGTTTTTATTCACCACTATTATATTTCTTATGTGAGCCCATAGAAAAGCTGAATCCCCCAACATTTAGATAGCAATAAACTTTATTTGGATTAAAGTCCCAGTGTTTACATTTTATGCAATTATCTATTTTTTAAAGCAGCGTTTTGCACTCTTGAGAATGTTTTAAACAAAATGAAAATAAGCTTTCAATAGATTTTTTTTCTTAAAATCAACCAATCCACGGGTTTACATGGGATAGTTTTGGGGGACCAAAACTCCTTGATCTTTGATTTTTCACAGCAAATGTGAAACAAACAAGTGGCAACTTCAAATCTCAACCAACAAATGCTCTGTCTTACACACTGGCAAAAAAACAAACAAACCCAGAAAATAAAATACAAGCTGGATGGACACAACCTTGTAGATGACCTCACTCTGCCAAGGACCTTGGAGTACTCATCTCTAGTGATCTAAGTGCCAGAGCCCACTGTAACAACATTGCTAAAAAGGCATTAAGAGTTGTTAACCTAATCTTGTGTAGCTTCTTCTCTGGTAATATTGTACTGTTAACTAGAGCATAGAAAACATTTGCTAGACCAATTCTCAAATACAGCTCACCTGTCTGGATCCCGCACTGCATATCAGACATTATTACAATTGAGAGAGTCCAGAGATATTTCACAAGAACAGTCCTCCACTCTTCTGCTTGCAACAGAATACCTTATACCACCAGACTTGAAATTTTGGGCTTAGACAACTTAGAACTACGCTGCCTTCGGTCTGACCTAAGCGTAGTACATAAAATTATCTGCTACAATGTCCTACCTTTCAATGACTTACTTCAGCTTCAACCACAACAATACACAAGCACACAATAGATACAAACTTAAGGTAAACTGCTCCAAACTCAACTGCAGAAAATACGACTTCAGCAACAAAGTTGTCAATGCCTGGAATGCACTACCTGGTTTCTTCCCTAAATCCCCAAAACTTTAACCTCAGACTGTCTACAGTTGACCTCACTCTATTCCTAAGAGGTTTGTAAGGGGCGTGCATAAGCGCACCAATGTGCCACGATCCCTCTCCTAATGTCTCCCTTTTATTCGTACCCATTTCATGTAATCATAATCATGTTCTAAAATATCTGTTATCTAATACATGCTTGACAAATAAATAAAATAAAATAAATGACTCACCTGTCCAAGCATGTCTGGTGCTATAGGAATGACAGGCCAGATAGTAGAGTAGACACCAAAGAAGACGAGCCAGAGCAGCATGCTTCCCCAGACAGCCAAGTGACTGAACTGTAGGAGAAAAGAAACACACCATCAAGATTGAACAGGTCTTTCTTCTCCCTTGCCACTCTCATTTGTCACCTCAACTATTATTTTACTTTGAGTCTTTTTTTCCCCCATCAAAGCTTTGGCCAATCTCACTCAAGACCGACACTTGATCTTGGTTTTATGCCAGCAGCAAGATTGGTAAAACCTCTGAGAAAACTCCCACGTTGAAACTTTATGTTGTCTTGGCCAGCATGTTACCCTCTGCTATCACCCCCTCAGACTAAAAAACTATTCTTAGTATGCATTCACATACAAAATTCTCCACTAAATCAAAAGAGATTTTTTTTTGGTCCTAACAGTGCTATAATATTTTTTAAAATCCCCTGGATTCTCCAGAAATGTGAAATATCTGGTTTTCTAGAACTTAATTCTAGAAAAAGGAACGTAACACTGCAGCTTTTTCATGATTAACATACATTATAATTTCTACAAGACATCCACCTGAAACATCTATTATCTTATATACAGTATTAAAAGGCATATTGTTTCTAGGAGCTTCATTTTAATAGCTGCCTAGGCATCTCTAGACTTCTCTTGCCTTGTTCCTCACATTCATTTGGGGGAAGAATCTTACTTTTGGAATTGAATACCTGATAAGAGTACTTGACATGGGAGTGGGCAACACTGTACTTATATGTATGTGAAGAGTTATATATTAGTTTATGATTACCACATCTTGATAAATGGAAAGAAAGCCAAAGTGAGTGAGGCCACTCCATTTTCTTACATTTCCCCCTTGTCTAGCATCACCTTTAGCACCCTGCCTTTCTCCTGGCCTAGGAAGGAAAGATTGCATTTGGTAGAAGATTGAAGAAAGGTTGTCAGTTTAAATCCTGTGACAGAAAGAAGGAAGGAAGGAAGGAAGGAAGGAAGGAAGGAAGGAAGGAAGGAAGGAAGGAAGGAAGGAAGGAAGGAAGGAAGGAAGGAAGAGCTGTAAACAAGCTATATATCCTTGATTGTTTGTTTGTTTCGGATTATATATAATTCTAAACCAAGAAGTCAATGACTGGCTTGCAAAACCCTTGCCAGGAACAGGATTTAAAACCATACATGAAAACAAGAAATAGAAGAAGAAGAAAAGCAAATAAATACATATCATGCTTCAAATTGGGTTTGCAACCCATCCTTATCCCAAATTTTACTTTTTGAATAAAGAATTGTAATTTCAGCTCAGGAAATGTCAATAGTGAATTATGAGAAATGTCAAGGTTTCACACCAGAAAGGCAAGAACAGGTTGGCTGATAATTCTTTGTGAGTTTTAGACATGCAAAGATACAAGCATGTTTATACTCATAGTTTCTTCAAATTAGATCTCTAAAGAATCAAAAGTGCCTGGATCAATTTTGGGAGTATTTTAAAATGGAAAGATGTGAGACAGACTAATTCTTGTGGGAGACCTCCAAAGCTTGCCAAGATTCCTTAGAACTACTGAGGTCCACTACAGACAGAATTATAGTTGTGGTTCCACATAGCACTTAATGTAGTATTGTATTTTTTCCTCAAATCCATTATATAAATTGAAGGAAGTTAATTTATATAGTGAAGAAAATGTGCTTGTTCAATACAAAGACAACTGCTGAGAAGCAGCAGAAAGGAAACAGGAAAATGAAAGAATATGAATATGAGAATTAGTACTCAGGACTGACTATACTGCAGATTTGACAAAGTATGAAAGTTAAGAAATGATAAATATAAAAATTTGTGGATTTATAGATAGGTAGATAATTAGTCTAAAATAACAAATCAAAATAAAATAACAAAATACATCTCTGAGACTCCCCCTTTCTGTCCCTTAAGTGATTATGGCAAAAAAAGTTTCATGTGTTATGATTGCTAATTAATTTCATAATAAATTAGCTTTACTTTATATATATATTTTCAGTAATACAGTTTCTTATAATTCCTGTAAGCCACCAGAGAATAGCTACTATACGGTGACCGAAATCTTGAATATACAAATCAAATTAATTCCTAAAAATGTTTTTGAATTTTGAACCTTTTCCTGCAATCTTCTGTTCAAACTAAATACAATAATAGAAAAATGTTAAAACATAAACAAAGCTCATCATCAAACAAACAACATTTTCACAGGGAATTTTTAATTTTGACAATGCGATTCAGGGGCTGAAAATTTAGGGCTCTCTAGATGTTTTAAACAACTTCAACGGTCCCTGGTAGTTGACATGCTGATGGAAACTTTTGAGAATTGTAGTCCAATATCTATGAACAGTTCCAGACTAGCAATTATATTTGTGTGAAGATCTTTTGTTTTCCAATACTGGCCACACCATAACATAAAGTATGGCTCAATTAACCAGGCAGCTGGAATGCTGGCATGGATGCTTGTGAGTAAATTGTGAGTGGAAGAGAATGAATGAAGGAGTGAATGAGCCAACTCCTCTCAAGTTTCTGGGAAAAATCAGGAGCTGTGCTGAGTCTTGAGGAAATGGGAATGAGAAACATTTCTGCTTAGCTGCAGCTGCTTTTCCCAAGTACAGGCAGCAATCCCAATTTTATTTCCTCACAATATGAACCAATGATGATGATAAGCTTCCAGACTATTAGGCTAAGATCTAATTAATTGATGTTTTGCCAGGAATTGTGGGAAGCCATCTTCAGAGTTGAACGTGGTCTACTTTGTAGCAAATTTCTTGGCAACTCACAAGCAACTGAGCAGGAAGTAACAAGCTCTTATGTCCGTAACAGAACTAACCTCTAATTGGAGCAGATCATTGGAATTCTTTAAACTAATTTCTGATTGGTTGTTCATTCAAATTGAAATGTAAATTTCTAATTGGTATGATTTGAAGAAATTCCAAAGGAGCTAATTTTCTATAGGTCTCTCTCTTTGAAAGACATTGCTGATTATTATTTTTCAGATTTTGGCCAACCTCACTGAAGACTGACATTTGATTTTATGCCAGCAACAAGACTAGTGAAATCTCTGAGAAAACTCTCATATTGAAACTTTTTTTCCCTCTTGGCCAGTAGTATGTTGCTCATTGTTGTCACCTCCTCAAACTTAAAAAAATATGTTTTTTAATATTCTGTATAGTGTTTGGTAATTCAATTAATTAATTGTTAGGATTAATTAACCTGGAAGCTCAAAATCACTGGCTTTACAAATATACTTCAACATTTCATTTACATATTATTCTTATTATATTAATATTATTATTGTATATAATGTATATTATTAAGTGTGATTCTTGACTCTTGATGAATGTATCTTTTCTTTTATGTACACCGAGAGCATTTGCAACAAGACAAATTCCTTGTGTGTCCAATTACACTTGGTCAATAAATAATTCTATTCTATTCTATTCTATTCTATTCTATTCTATTCTATTCTATTCTATTCATATACAATGTATATGTTAATATACTGTATTTATGAATATGGAGCCAAAACAGTAGTCTGATCGTACTTCAATCATTTTATACTTCCAGCATATTAAAGTGAACAACCATTTTTCTTTAAAAAACTGAAGTACACATTAATTATGAAACAATAAGTCACTTAATTAATTTAATCATAGGATCAGCTGTCTTACTTGAGCTTTGCTTTGCTTTAAAGACCTGAGAAGGTTGTAATTGCCAGGATTGGGCACAAAGATACCTTTTCATCACCACTATAACTGCATCTGGCTGCTGTACATGACAGTTGTTAAAAACTAACAGCTGCTGTAATAACAATTGAATTCAACCTCAATGAATTTAATTAATAAAAAAGATGGAAATCCCAATTTGGCTGAAACACGCTCCAAAAATTTTCACTGCACCATATCAAAATTCTTTCCCCCATCCAACAATATTTCCAAAATCAAATTTTTCTGAATGTATATTTCAAATATCAATCAACAATCTATTATTGTCAAGGATTGATGTCATTTTAGAAAACAGCATTGTCCAGGATAAACTTTTTTTAAAAAATAAAAGTAATATTGTCTATACACTATGTGACAGAGTTGCTATCAGAGGTTTTGCATTAACAAGGTTGACTCAGCCTTCCATCCTTCCGAGGTGGGTAAAATGAGGATCCAAATTGTTAAATTGTTGGGGGCAATAGGCTAACTCTGTAAACCGCTTAGAGAGGGCTGTAAAGCACTGTGAAGAGGTATCTAAGTGTAAGTGCTAAGTGCCAACAATTGACAAAAAAATTGATAGTAATTTGTACATTCAACAGCATTTTTACCAGCATTCAAATTTATCATTATAGAACTCTCATTAAAAGCAGGGAAAACATTATTTAAAAATTATTACAAACTTTGAGTGATATAAGAAGAAAAAAAGTAAAAATAAAAATATGCTACATGTTCATGTGTGATTTTCAGAAAATCTAGATTATTTTTAAAATATTAATTTCTCCTTCTATGAATTTTTAAATTAACATATAAAATATAAAAGCAAAACAATGATACTTTGTTCATTCATATTCCTTATACAATTTACAGAATATTAAGCTATTGGCATTGTTTCTAACAATAGGTCAGTAATTTACCATGACCTTCTACGTATTTCGTTCTCAATACCTTCCTTGAATAAAACGCTATGAGTATTCCATATTAAGTTCAAATTCCAGATTAACTGAAGCAACTCTATTGTTCCAGTGGGGCTTATCTCACTTATGTTTTTAAATGTTCATAAATATTATTTTCCAAATGTTTTTATTTAAATTTTTTGTATATTCTTCCATGATTCTTCTTTCCATTACAATCACAAATACTATATATGCTTTAAATCAGGGGTGTCAAATGCGGGGCCACCCTGGAAACAGTGAAGGATCAGCCCGCGTTGCCTCTGCTAGCAAAACCGGAGCTTGTGAGGGCCACACACGGTCCTCCTGAGCTCCGTTTTCACTGGCAGAGGTTGCAGGAGGCCGTCTCAGATGTAAATGGAGCTCGGGAGCCCATTTTTGCCAGCAGAGAGCTTGGGCCACCACAGGCGCCCCTCAACATAAGTGATGTCCTGCTGGCCACATACCCCAGGTCAAACACAGCCCTGAGGCGGCCCTCAATGAAAGCGAGTTTGACACCCCCTGCTTTAAATGATTCCCGAAATATAGCATATTTACAAAATATCTATTTATAGCAGAAAAAAAAAAATCTGGTTTCATCTGTCTTATTAAAAAAAAGTAATGATACATGTAAATATTGTGAAAAATAAAACAACTTCTAGCTACAGAAGTACTGAATTCAGCTCCAGCATATTAACTTGTAATCTTTTATTATTTTTGTTTTAGTCAGTGATCTGTTTTCTATCCACAGACAATGATGAGCATACTCTGCTTCCCAAAGGACTCCATACTAGAATATTAAAATCAGTAACACAATCCTTTATAGAAATAGTTTGACAAGCAAACTACAATAAAATAAAACAAGACAGTAAATATCTCAACTTGATCCCAAGCGCAGACAAGCAACAGAGCGGACCTGGATACTAAATGCTAAAAAGAACAGTTTAAAGAACTAGATGTATTTAGCCTAAAAAGGGGAGACTAAAGGGAGACCTGATAATGGTCTTCCAATATCTGAAGGGCCGTCACAGGGCAGAAGGTATAGAGCAGGGGTGTCAAACTCATGGCGTCATGGCATCGTCACAGGATGCATCCTGACTTCCCCCCCTTCGTTAAATTGGGTGTGGGCGTGGCCAGCTACATGACGCATCTGGCCCACGTGCTGCGAGTTTGACACCCCTGGTATACAGTTATTCTCCAGAGCACTGAGAATAGAACAAGAACCAATAGGTGGGAGCTTAACAGAGAGAAATGCAAACTTGAAATGAATTTTTTGAGAACTCTCAAGCAATGGAACAACTTGCGCCTTTGAATTTTGTGTGTGCTATGTCACTGAAAGTCTTCAAACAAGATTAGACAGCAATTTGTCTGGATTGGCCTCAAGATTTCTACCTTGGGCACAGCGTTGGACCAAAAGGTCTGCAAAGTCTCTTCCAATCCTATGATTTTGTGATTCTATAAATTATGAAAGTAATTTTTCTTCTGGATAAAATTGCAATTCAATTTTAGACAGCAAAAACGAATTTGAGATCCCTACTACTGACTTAATATTTATACTCACCTTTGTCCATGCTGTGGTTTCTAAGCCAGCTTTCAAACAGACTGTCACCACAACATACTGCAGTAAAAAAAGTAGAAGAAAAATTTGAATTTCAGCACGTTTTTCCCATTCACAGTTCTCTTGATTTCTTTGAGTAAAGGGTACACTACATTGCAAAAGCATGGTCTAAACATTAGAAATTAAATGCCATATTTTGATAAATTTAATATTTAGCACATTTCAGAAGTACAGAAATTCAGAAATGATAGGAGGAGATCATACATACATATTCCCATGCCTCTGTTCTCATTATAGGATCTATCAACTACTAACTAGCTATTATATAGCCCAACTACATGCATGCTTAACATGCTTTATGACAGGCCTAATAGTATTAGAATAAATAGCAATAGAATTAGCAATTAGACTTATATACTGCTTTACAGTGCTTTACAGCCCTCTCTAAGTTGTTTACAGAGTCAGCATATTGCCCCCCAACAATTTTGGGTCCTCATTTTACCCACCTCAGATTGGCATAACTTCCTCGGGAAATATTCTTTATCTTTTAATAGCTGCCCAGTTTGAGAAATTCAACACACACAACTTTCTACGGCATAATAGTGGTAACTCTAAGTACATTCTACACTATTTATTTATTTATTATGCCCAACCATAGGAAATTGTCAGATCTTACCCAAGAATGGCATAGGACAATACAGCCAAAATTTAGTTCTCTATTTGCTAATTCCAAATAGACACAATCTTGCCAGAATAAACATATACAAGTAGTCCTCGACTTGCGATCACAACTGAGCCCAAAATTTATGTTGCTAATTGAGAAATTTGCTAAGTGAGTTTCCCCCCATTTTATGACTTTTCTTGCCACATTTGTTAAGCAAATCACAGCAGTTGTTAAATGAGTAACACGGTTGTTAAGTGAATCTGGCTTTCCTGTTGATTTTGCTTTCAGAAGGTCACAAAAGGTGATCACATGACCACCACTGCAACCATCATAGTTGTTTAAGTATTGTTACTGTTAAGTATCTGACTGTAAATCACATGACCATGGGAATGCTGAAATGGTCATAAATGTGAAAAAAGTCACTTTTTTCACTATCGTTGTAACTTCGAATGGTCAGTAAATGAACTGTTGTAAGTTGAAGACTACCTGTACTACTATCAACCTAACAGACATACCCTGGGAGATTCTAGGGAGTGGCTATCCTAAATCTCTGATCCAGCTCTGGGCTGTGTTGTCTCTTGTTACACACACACCCACACCCACATCCCCTTGGAATCTGATCCCTTCTTCCTAGGAAATTGCCACTTCATACACTATCTCCCTTCATAGACACATTCCATCACCGAAATACATCCATAATTGAAATCTTACAATAGGTAATATTTCATTTTGCATTAGCTTACCGTATAAACAATATTTCCAACAAACAGGTAGTCAACAGCCTGGCCATTTGTAAACACTGTATCTACAATAAATAATGAAAAAAAAATTAGATACCTTGTTCAGTAAAGTCCAAATGACTGGTTGCTCAGTATATCTGGAACAAATTTTGTGTAACATACAATTCTTCTGTTCTTTCTTGATTGAATGAAGAAACTGACTGCCCACTTTGCCTCCTTTCTTTTGATAGCTGCTGAAACATTTTACAAACTTCATATTGAGGCAGAGGTCAAAAGGGTGTCACTGGTAGCCCTTTGAGGTAGTCCAGAAAAGAAGAATAACTATCTTTAGGGCAGTGGTGGGATTCAAAAAAATTTACTACCGGTTCTATGGGCATGGCTTAGTGGGCGTGGCGTGGCTGGTGTGGCTTGATGGGTGTGGCAGGGGAAGGATACTGTAAAATCTCCATTCCCACCCCACTCTTGGGGGAAGGTTACTGCAAAATCCCATTCCCTCCCCACCCCACTAACCTACTTTACAGCTCCGTTCTCCTGTGCAGGGCAACAAAAGAAGACCCAGCCAATCAGCTGGGACTCGGGAGGCAGAGAATAGATGGGGGTGGGGCCAGTCAGAGGTGGTATTTGCCAGTTCTCTGAACTACTCAAAATTTCCACTACCGATTCTCCAGAACTGGTCAGAACCCGCTGAATACCACCTCTGCTTTAGGATAAGATTCCAATAAGAAAATCTTGCAAGTATGAAAATATCTTTTTCCTTTCTCAATTTAATTCTCCCTAAAACTAGGAAGGATTCCTTCTGAGATGTTTTTGCCCCCTTGGAATTCAGATTTCATGATCAGAGTGCTGTCTATATTGCAGCCCTTCTTCCTGTCTTTCTCACATACCATTACATTGGGTGAGATTTACTGAGCATTGAGGACAGATTGGAAATTTCAGGGCTTGAGAATACTTGTGAAAATATTGTGGAACAATCAATATTATATTCTGATATTTATATATTGATAGTCATATCAATGTCATTGCTTTGTTTTATTTTATCTTGACATATAGTCCTGTGGTTCTAGTAGCCCATGATTTTGCAAAGATTTCTTCTGAACCAACTCCTAACAATTGAGAGACATGGTAAAGACTTATTTGCAAACATGCATTTCTAAGGCTGCCAAAGTCTTTTCATTGCAGAGATGTTTAAAAGACATACCCTTAGATATAGGTGAATAATAGTTTTCATTTCAAGAGTTAAAGGATTTCTTCAAATACAGATAGAAATTCTCTTGCCCCTTCTGTTTAAGAAATTTAGCATTTTCATGTGGAAATAGCTTATAAAAATCTTTACCAATTCCAATTTAAATCTTCCGAAGGGCTTTTGAAGACGGCATTTTAAAATCAGTAAGTTTTGATCTAATATGAATTTGACAATCACTATTACAAAACCTGGAAAACATACAAACTCTAACTTTTTGCTTCTATCTAGTAGTTATCTGGATTTTTTGCAGCCTGGATCGGATGCCCCTAATGCAGCAGAATCAGCAGAATTTTTAAAAAACAAAGTTGGGTGGGAGCCATCTTGAAAAACAAACAAACCCGATTCTCTTTAAATTATCAGGTCAGGTAAATATTTGGTCAAATTCCTCTTTTCATTAATCTAAACCAAATGATAAGACATACAGTTAGGGAAGCTGCATAACACTAACGTACTTGCTTCTTTTTAATGTGTAAATCAATTTTAAATAAACATAGCTTCACCAATGAACATTGTGATTTATAATGGATGTGAATTGCTATCTATTAAAGATGGCATGCAGAAAGGGAGGACTGTAGAAGGTCATTGCTGATAAATGTTAGAAAGCTGTTGGTCTGGCTGCAATGATTAATTTCCAAGGGAAATGTTTTGACCTCAAATATAAAGGGGATGGCTTAGAAAGATTGAAGATTACTTAGTTAACACATGGGAAAGAACAATGCATTTATTTACCATGTTCTAGTGCTTTCAGGGGAAGCCAAAAAAGAATGACGGAGTGGATCAAGGCATTGATGCAATGACCCCAGAACACCTAAAGGAAAAACAAACAAGAAAGTCAGGACAGTGATCAAACTCTCCAACAAGTCACATCAAACGATTCATTAAGTCCCATCAAATGAGTGAAATTTTTTTAGTAGAAAGTGGTTTTTTTTAATTGCAAAAGCTGGTGTGCTACCACACACAGAGAGAGACAAAGGCAAATTAAAAAAAAAAAAAAGAAGGAAAATTCAACAGGACTAAATCCACACAAAGACATCCCTATCTTTGTTAAGTTTTGAAAAATGTATGCAGCAAAGCCTAAAACTTCCCATGTTTTAGATTTTTTTAAAGATGTTTTTATGTGTAACGGTCCAAACATTATCATGAAGTATGCCTTCGTGTTTCCTGGAATTGAATTTTAGGTGGAGGAAAACCATACATCAAGTATCCATTTTCTATTCTTTCTCATGCCTGGGTGTTTTTTCATACAAGTCAACCAAGGAAACCATGAAAATTTGACACTGAATAAATTTAGCATTAAAATATATGAATGCAATTAATAGTGGTGTGGGGGGGGGGAATGAAATTAATTAACTAACTAATAATTAACTCAAGGGGACTCTAGGCAGTTCCCAAAATGCTCCAGAAAATCTAAATATTCATCTGAGTAGCACCAGTCTAGAGTTTGGGAACCTTTTTGGACTAGGAATCATCATTTTTAAAATGATTTTTTCTTGGGGAGTCAAAAGCTGCAGAAAACTTTGCAGGGTTATTATATTACTAGCTCGATACCCGTGCTTCACTATGAAATTATGTGGTTGGGCTTAGTTTTGGGGGAGGAAAATAAGGGGAAAAAATTCTGCCTCTGCCTACCAGCATCCATCAGTATTCATCTGGCTAGCATCCTGTCAGTGTGTGAGAGAGTTGAAGGCTGTTTGGAAAGTGAAACAGCATTTGCTGTGTGAGCAAGAAGGACACAGCAAGGAGCCTGGGCATGGCTTAGCTCAACTGTTTTGTACTAAAGCTGGTTGCTGTTGTGAAACTAAAACTGAAACTGAAATTCCTCTCCTCTGCTTGTGTTTTGCATTTGGAACAGATTTCTTTTCAGGTGGGGAGGGGGAGTAGAACACCTTAGCATCAGAGCCTGTTAGTAATAATATACAAAATACTAATGCTCTGATGGTCATTTCGAAAAATCCTTTCTTAGTGAGCACCTAGAAGGCAAGAGGAACATACGTGCCAAATTTCAAGTTTGTAGGCTTTACGGTTCTGGAAATTTTGTGATGATGCATGAGTGGCATTTCACTGTTATATATATATACAGATAGAAGATAGATAGATAAAAACGAAGACAGATTAGAAAGAAGTAGGGTTGCATTTTCAACTTTCCCCTGACATATTCAAATATTTTACTCATTCATGAACTTTTTGTGTGAGCTGGTAATTGTAGGATGGGTATTTTTCCTTTCCCCTTTCCACACAAGGAGGGCAGTGTTTGGTGAGGGCACTTTCTAATATAATACTGTAATAATAGCAGAAAACAGTTGTCCTTGTTCCCTTCCAACTCCATTCTCTCTCTTTTGTGTTACATTTAATTCTTTTATTTTATCCCCACTTCCTGACAACCATTCCTTCTCAGAAATTGCCATCTGCTTTATAATTCAAGCAATTTTTCCCTTAAAATCTAGGGAGAGAAACAACTTAGTTTTACCTTGTTGCAGTGATGAAAATTTTATTTCCTAAATTTGCTCAGGTTTGAAAGTCACTCACTATATTCAGAAATATTTTTAATCAGATTGATCATCTGATTTTTTGAATACATTCTAAAACAAACATTGCTATGTAAAAATAAAGTGACCAGGCAACTAATTCGGATATTCAGCAAAATTCAAAACAATCCTGTTTACTCTTTATTTTTGTAATAATAGGATGATGAAAGATACATGCAAAACAACAAAACCCAGTCCTCAAAGTTTCTTATGCTATGCTTAAGTTCATTAAGGTCCCACATGAAAAAAATTATAATCTTTTGAAATCTTAAAACCTCCAGCACAATCTTAGACCTTTTCTGTCCTTTAAGCTCTGAACTGCTGAAGTTTTATTAGACAGAGTAGGTTAATAAAACATGAAAACTGAGAATGGAGGAAATTCTCCAAAATATGAAAAGAAAATATTAAGTGTAACTTTACCTGCGTATCTCCCTGAAACATCTTTTTAAACCTATAACCTGAAGGGAACAATAAAGTCATCTCAATATTTTTCCTAGAATCTCTGGAGAGGAAGTGGTGAAAAGGCAACTGGTAAAAGTGTGGGAACATTTCATCGCCAAATATCAAATCTGTTGGAACTTGTTGCAAAGAACACACAATGATATTGATTAATTCATACGCAAGCATAGAGGCTCTTATAAACGTATATGGCTAATATTCCAATTTGGAACCCTATGCCTGACCTTTTCAACTTGCAGCAGGGAAGCGGGGACTTCATCCAGTGAGAGTCATCATGCTTTGGAAGGAATTAGCAAGCAGAACTCCTGCCAATTCAACATACTAAATGAAGCAAACTTTTTTTTATACCGTTGCAGCTGGATGCCAAAATACTGCCAATGTTGTAGACAGTCTAGTTGCCGTGGCTCAAAAGATAATGAGAACCAGCTCTTAGAAGTTAATATTCAAAGCTTAGGTTATTCTAAACACTACCATAAATTTTGTACCTATTCCTAGGGTTGAGCTGCCTTTAAAAATAAGAAAGATATAAGCATGAATATATAAATTGCATTTGCTCGGTACAAGGAAGCTCAACCTCTTCTTAAATGGAGGTGTCTACATGGATTTGAGTATTTCTTATTTTGGGAACCCAAACTCTGACAGCACTGACCAGGGAGTAATGTACTGGATTTCTACATAAGTTATCTGTTAACGTGGTCTTGCTCAACTTAATGCTTGATGAAATTCATTGTCTTTTAATATGGGCTTGTTGGTACTGTGAGATCATTTGGAATTTCCAGATAGAAATGTCAGTATAGAATGTTGTGGTTGTGTTGTTTCTGACATTTGACAGTCTTTCATAGCTAATGATATGGAACTTGGATTGTTAACCTGTATCCATTAAGATTTTTAGCTGGTTATGGGGGTTTCCGGTTTGTCGGCTTCGCGAGCGGTAGGGATTCGCGAAGCTGCGCGATCCCTGCCGCGCTAGCCGTTTTGGGGCTCTGACCCGGACGGGTGCGGAGCAAGGCTGCCCTGCAGGGGTAGCTGAAGTTAAGGGGGATCCGGAGGAAGGGTCTGGGGGTGTTGCAGACCCCCTCCCTGGCCGGCAGAACCCCCTTTTACCAGGACGGTGCAGCGGCGGTCCGTAATGGCCGCCACAAAGAAGTCGGCAGCCGGGCAAGTATGCGCAGGAGGAAGAAGAGAAAGTTATTGAAAGTGAAAGTTCTTCTTGGTCGACCCAGGGCTTTGAGATTTATCTAATTTAATTCCTGGAAAAGATGGTTTTTTGATGATTTTTTCCACAAGAGAAAAAAAGCGGCTATTTTGAGGTGCTGAAAGGAAAGTTTACTCTCCCTCCCGACGGAATTAAGCCGGAAGGGAGAGGATAAAGAAAATATATAAATTTGGATCTTGTTGGAGGAGATGCCTTGAAGATTTGAGGACAGAAATATAATTTTAATAAGGCTTTAAAATATAGATTTGGACTCTTTTTTTTATTTGTTTGATACCACCCCTGGAAGAGGAAGGGGGAATTTTGGCTTGCTTGGATTTATTGAGGATTGTGGATTTTGGGATTGTTTTACCTTTCTCTCGGAATATTTGGTTGGTGTAAGAAGAAAGAGGAATAAAGAAAAGAAAAGATTTATTTATAATGGCTTTCCCTTTTGAAGACCTGAGGGATGAATATGAGCAAACAAAAGCAGCCTGCAAAGATGGTATGGAAAAAGCTTTTCTATTTCTAGAAATGGCGCTGGTCAATTACCAAAAGACAATGGAACAGATGGAAACAGAAGTTGTTCCAGAAGAACAACAACAAGGAAAAGACGAAGACGCCATCTTTATTGAATCCCAAAACTTATCTAAGGAAGAAGGAAGGAAGAGAGCAAGGAAAATGAAGGACTTAAGATCTAAAAAAACATTTGAGAAAGAGAAAAATATGATGCAAAGTAAATATAATGATAGCAAACAAGAGAAAAAGGGAACACAACAGAGAAGGGATCCCAGCAAGGCAGAGGTTAGAAGAAGAAGGGGGGGTAGGAAGATTTGGTGGGGGAAGAAAGAAAGGGGAAAGGCGGAGAAAAGCCTCAAAGTTTTAAAATTGGATGGGAGAAGAGGAATTTTTTTTAGGGACAAAGGATGAAATATAAACTTTTGTAAGAAAGATTCTGCTAGGTACAGAAGATGGTATTGTAACATTTATATTTGAAATAGTAAATTAGAATGGTTTAAGATTTAATAAGAAATTAAAATGTTGAAGTTTTTAATAATGATTAATTTTTAAAATGTAATAAAATATTGAAGGAAAGGAGGATACAATGTATTTAAACATTTTTGGTGGATAGAGTGTACCAAGCAGAACCGAATTGGGTATTTGTTATGTTGAATGTTAATTTTACTAACTTAGGGGGAGGATAGAAAGGCATCATACTCTGATTAGTGATTTCAGGAGAAATTCTTTTTATTATAAGAAGAGATAGAGGGATAATGAATGGGCAAAAGATATAAATTTAATGATTTAATTAAGATGGATTAAATAAGATAGAATTGTGAAGAGTGATATGCGCTGCCCATGCAAAGAGAGGTAACTGGGGCCAAGGTACTTTACTAAAAGATTTTTTTTATGTTTGTTTGTGTTTGTTTGTGTTTTATGAGAATATTGGGGAAATTTTTGTAGAAAGACAGGAAAAGATTTAAATATGTAATGATTTGTTTGTTGTTGAAATTTTTAATAAAACTTGTTTAAAAAAAAAAAAGATTTTTAGCTGGTTATATTTTGCAACTAACCCCCTCTGCAAAATGTAGATGTTTATGAGGAAGAGGCCCTTTCAGTGGGATCTAGGACAACTCATCATAGCCAACTCGCCATTGCCAACTGGCTATGGCCCACTTGCCATGACCTACTAGCCAGGGACAATATGGCATGGCCAACTCGCCTTGGGACAACTCATCCTGGGACAATTCAATGCTGTATTAATAATTTCATTCAGATACTTTTATTATTGGTAACCACATTTACATCAAAATTATTGTAACTCTTGTATTTCTGGATTGACTTCTTTATTTTATTATTATTGGCCAAAGTTCCTTTGAAATTAATTTAACTTTTGTATTTTTTGAATTTTTGGGTAGTGAGTTATCCTATGGCAAGTTGGCCATGGTGAGTTGGCTGCAGCAAGATGGCTGCAGCGAGTTATCCCAATCCATTTTTGTTGATGGCGCATTTAGTTATAACAGAGGTGTCAACTGAGGGCTGGATCAGCATTGTAGTTCTCCTCCGCGGGCCAGCCACAGGGATGGGGGGAGGGGGAGACAGGATGTACTCCCTGCCAACCAAAATAATACCCTGCTGGTCAAAATATTTTGGCTGGCAAAGTGCTGTCAGAGGCAGTCCAGACCAAAAATGGGCTACGGAGGCTACACACGCCCCCCGTGCCCCATTTTGGTGGCAGGGTGTTGGAGGAGGCCGTCCAAGCAAAATGGGCTGTGGGGATCACACGTGGCCTGGCCTTTGTTATTTCCAGGCCAGGCCCACAGGACAGATTTAAGTACCACGCGGGCCGAATTTGGCCTGCAGGCCTTGAGTTTGAGACCCTGAGCTATAATGATACTTCTTTGTCTATTTTTTCAGAGCCTTTTAATTCTTACTCTTTACTAGATATATAATTATATTAGTATTTTCTGATAGGATTGTTTTGCATGTAATCTTCCCCCATAATCTGAATTTTCATGAACCATAAAAAACATAAACATTGTTTTTCTTTCTACCATGCAGGCCTTCTTTTCTGTTAGGGCTGTGAGGTGATTGTAAATATCTTCTTTCATTTTAGATAAACCACAACTGAGTGTGCCATGATCACAAATCACAACTGGAAGCTGATTTACTACCATTACCAGACCCAGCATTTATTAAGGATGAACTTTAAGGATTAATCATTTCAGGGTGTTCAATCTGAAATAGCAGCTGTAAATTAAAATCTCAGCTTTAAGCTAATATAGCCCTGTTGTTTTTAATCCTTCCCTCTAGGTAAACATTGCCTCTTACCCTGCTATTGAACCCATCAGCATTTTGAGTAATTTTGTAGAGCTGGGGAAACCTAAGCATGTTGTCCTGCGAGCACGATCGTTCAAAGATTCCCAAGGTGAAGGGAGGTAATGCTGTGAAAATCTAGAAAAAACAAAGGCAGTAATTAAAAATAACAGACCATTAACTTTATAAGCAAGTTGAAAAGGATACGTCATACCTGGAAAGAATCCCGACATTGTTAAAATCCACACCACCAGCTTTACTAAATTCAGTTGTGCTGAATCTAAGTTAGATGGCCGAAGCAGATAAGTTTTTAATCATATGGTGCTGGATGTCAACCCTGAAGCTGACCAGGGTGAAGCCATCTTGGAGCTTCAGTGTTGCCGCACTGGAGCGAGGGATAGGGAGGGGCGATTAGAGATAGCTGGGCTTGTGTAGTCAAAATAAAATACTTTCTCAAGATTTTCTCCTGGGAACCAAGGACATTCTCACACCTGGCCGAAAGAAAGAGGAGTGATGTCACCAGACCAGTGGACGCTGCAGTGATTGGGCCAGGTGACTGATTGTTTGGGGTTGAGGGAATTTCTTTTTTACTTTTATTTAGGTGAAAACCAGAGTTCGTTTTCACCAGATATGTGCCAATATGATATTTCCAAAAAGCTATTCTTTGAGGAATTCACCTGCTTCGGAGTGTTGCTTGCAATGGATTTATTACTTGGAACCCCGACACTGGATAGCAAAGCAGAAGGCTGCAACTGAAGAAAAGTGTCCCATGATTTCCATTCAATGAAATAAAAAAATAAAAAAGAGGCCTCTGAATCAACAGCTAATAAGGCAATTACAGCTGACCTCCTCAGAGCTACTTAAGATCTGTTTTCAAAGTTCTAACATTTGCCTTCCCTTTTGCACTTTGGACTCTGCCTTGCATTTATAGCCATTTGC